AGAGAACGCCAAGAGTGAGCAAAGCAGGAATCAAAGCAAAGGGCGGCTGTTAGGAAGGATCTAAAATATAAAACATGTTTTGAGTTGTTTCACACTTTTGTTTACTACATCATTTCATGTGTTCATTCATAGTTTTGATGCCTTCAGTGAGAATCTAAAATGTAAATAGTCATGAAAATAAAGAGAAACCATTAAATGAGAAGCTGTGTCCAAACGTTTGATAGTGGTTAGTGTATATTTTCCAATACTAAGTTTTGGAGCAGCGTGTATCTCCAGCTAAAGAAAAATTCCTAGCTTCTGTTATTTCTATTTACACGTGGAAAAAATATGTGAAAGCGACAAAGAACTTGCACATACATTTCTCAGTAACACCGGGCTAACAGCATGTAAATAATTATTCTATATAATAAGTCTTTGTTATAAATTGTGTCTTTGATGACATTCCAGCAAGAGGTGCTGCATTAAATCACTCCTAATACAAACTTAATACTCACTATTAAATATTTGCTACAGCTTCAAACTAAAAGAATTTTCAGCTGAAGACTTTTATTATTAACTTGACTGCATTTTGCAATTCATCGCGTATTGTAGTGGCAGGATTCACTAACCTGTAGCCGTATCTCCCTTAAGTTCCTAGTTATGTTGACAGAATGTGGCTGACCGTTGGCCATGTTACGATGGTCAACGTCTATGGTATACGGTTCTGTGAGTCCTCCAAGGCTGTAGCGGATCTGGAGAGTGCCTGAAAACACAAATACGTACATTTCTTACAGTTTATAAATGGTAAAGGGACTGGTTCTTACATAGTGCTTTTCTACTCTGAGCATTCAAAGTGTTTTCTACAACTTGCCTCATTCATCCATTCACACAAGCACTTTCTTTTCAATTGTTCTTCTACAAAGGTGCTTGCTATCTAACATTTACACCGACACTCCGATGCATCAGAGTGCCACTTGGGCTGAGTATCTGTCCCAAGGATATTTGGCATGGAGACCACCCTAGATAAAGTTTATAAAGATGAGAACACATTAAATGTATCAGATACGACACTAATAAGCCTACCATTGTGTCTGAGCACCACAGCCAAGTAGTCCTGAGTTCTGGAACTGATGTAGACAAGAATGCTGGGAGCACTGTAGGTGCTGAAGCTGAACACAAGCTCCTCCTGAGTCAGGTTGGCCTCACTTGAAACACCAACACCTGACAGACTCTTCACGTCCCTCAATGCAAAAGGTCCCCCCTCTGGCAGCAAGTCGTAACGCACCAATGTCCCCGTCTCAAAGTAGCCGCCTACATCTAATGTATAATTAAAGAATAAAGAACATTAAAACATAGCGGAAATTCTTATTGATTATTAAATCTGAACCCATCTAATCTCAAACAGGGTGTTGGTCATACCATCAGTGCAGAAGGGTCCATCGTACGCAGTAAGGGAGCAGTCACAGGAGTAACCATTGTAATGCTCTACACACTTTCCTCCATTTCTGCAGTGCATCCTGTAGCTGTTGCAGTGGCCCTGGCAGCCTGGATTCACACCTGGAGTCCCTTTTGCCCATTCCTCCAGGTCAAAGGTCACACCATTAATCTTCAGAGCTCGCATGCAGCCCAGAAAACCCCTTTGACCACTTGAAGCACCTGGTATAGAAGTAAGGCAGAATAATCCAGAACAGCATTAAGAACACCTTCAAATAACGAGTAATTCAATGTGATATGCAGATTAGCACATTACTGTTGAATGAGTTTCTTGTTTTTCGTGTGCTCCAGTCTGCAGTGGCTTCCAGCTAACGGTACAGAAATCAGAAAATAATGACATCTCATGCCCCACTTAGACTGGAGGTGCCAGGGATCAAACCACTAACCTTCTGATCAGTAGACAACCTACTCTACCTCCTGAGTTACAGCCACCCCAATCGACGTCAGCAGCGCTCCACCCACACACAGTGCAGGTAGAGCACCACTTTTCCTTTCTGAGTCACCTGACAGTTTGCCAGAATCTCTTCAAGGCAGTTTGGAAGTCTTTTTCCATTGTCTTTCCTCCCACACCCGAGTTTTTGCTTCAGCCACTGCC